GAGAGAGGGGCAGGAGGGAGAAGCCCATCCTGAGAAGCAGGTGAACTGAGAGATGGGAACCTCCGCGGGCAGCGGCCAGGTGCCATCTCGGCCGGGTTCCCAACAGGCTGCTTTCCAGCCAGGCCAGTTCACTCCCGCTGTGGGAGCCCAGACTCAGGCTTCGGGGAGTCTTGTTCCTGGTGCTTGAGGCAGCCAGAGATTCTGGGAGGCGTAAAAGGAAGGCGAGAGGGAGTGAAGGGAAGGAAAGGGAGGAGAGCAAAGGGCAGGGAGTCTGGGCAGTGAGGAGCCAATGTGTCCGGGAGGGACAAGGTGTCAGCTACCGCAGGAAGCCTGCTGCAGCTGGATGCTGCAGGGGAGGGAAAAGGGGATGGGGGAGAGTACGGAGAACGAGATCCACAGGCTCATTTCCGCACTTGTCCTCCCATTCATTCATTTGTCCAATAAAACGAAGGAAGCCAATACTGAGAGATGATTGCTAATTGAGGTACATGGAACAGGTTAGGAAAATAAAAAAAGAGAGAGCAAATAACTATTTGATGGGTGGTAGGAACAGAGATGTAGCGAGAGTGGGCAAATTTCACTGGAGGTGTTTAAACCAAGATCTGAAGGAAACAGAGAAACAGCCAACCCACTCTTCCTCCTCAGCTCCGTGGTCCATCTCTTCCCAGATCTCCAAATCTCAATCCAGCTGTTGCCATCATTGAGTTGAATCCAAGCCATATACTTGCTGTGTAACCTTAGGGAAGTGATTTAACCTCTCTGAGCCCCAGTTTTCTCATCTGTTAAGTAGGAACAATGCCAGCTTGAGCGTTGTCATGGGATCAGACACAGTCATGCACAGGAGAGGGTCCCTGGCACCTTACTGTGGCCAGTCAGTGGCAGCAGTAGCACCACAACTTCATGTCCTGAACTGTGGGCCTCTGTGGGCTGGAGAAGAGAGCTAAGGCCATTCCCAGCGGTCCCCACCCCTGCCCCCCACCCCGCCCTTGGGGAAACATGAGAAGCAGAGCTTGAGGATCTCATGTGTGCCCCCCACACCCCTTAATCCTTCCTGAACTTGGGGGTGGGGGGGCAGCCCTGCTGCCACACCTGCATGGCTCTGACATCTCCTGCCTCTGGGCAGAGAAAGCAATTTCAGAAATGACATGTTGCCAACAAGCAGAAATCAGCTTGTGAATTAAAATGTGTCGGCGTCAGGTGACCCCAGGCGCGGAGGGCTGGCTGCATGCAGACAGCTGAGATTAGAGGCTGTCAGCCGGGGGAGGCTGTGTGGGAAGGGGTGGTGCAACCCGGGGCTTCGGTTGCTCTCCAGGCTCTTGGCCGCCCTGGACTTGTTCAGACAGGGGGGCAGGAATTCGGACACCAGGTCAGGTCTGCCATGGCTCTGACCAGTCTCCATTTCTCAACTGGCCACTCTCCGTAGTGGGGGGGGAAGCCTGGTGGGGGGTCGGCTTGGCTCCCCTGAGATGGCTTCAGCGTAAACACACTAATGGGCTCGAGAGTCAGGGAGGAATGTGGGCCCCACAGCCCCTGGGGACTCCAGAGGATGGGAGCAGGGATAAGACACCCAAGAGGCATGCAGGGGGGAGAGAGAGAGAGAGAGAGAGAGAGAGAGAGAGAGAGCGCAGGAGAAGGAAGAAAGAAGGAGAAGGACCAAGCCAGAGGGGAGGAAGATGCCACCAGTCACACGGATCCTTGCCACTCCCTGGTGTCCCCTTCTTGTGGCCCCAGGCGTTTGCCCAGCTGGGCCCTGCACTCCTAGGAACCAGGCTGTTCAATTTCCAGCCCCGCTATCTGTTGTGGGGCCTTGGGTACAGCAGGGGACTGCTCTGAGTTCAGTTTCTGTGAACTGGGATTGTGGCTGTATGGATCCCCAGGGGTTTTGCAGCCATTAAAACAGGAAACAAGGAAAGGGCCCAGCCCAGGAGTACCCAAATATCTAGTGTTTCGAGAACAGCAGCACTGCTTTGGCTTTTCCAGATCATCATAAAGAAGCTCCATATTGTTTGAAAGCTTCCTAAGACTCCTTGATAGCTTTGCTGTGTGAAAGGTAGCTCTCTCAGAGTGCCGAGACCCTGATTCTGGGGGTCTCTTTCCTTGTCTGTGACCTCCCTGAAGGCCAACCTAGGTCTCATTGCCGCAGCACCCCGGCACTCTGCCTAGCACACCAATTGGTTGCATGAGCGGTTAATGAAGGAACAGAATGTGAGAGGGTGTGGAGCAAAGAATGAGAAATAAAGGGGAAGGGTGGGCATAGGCACAGGACCCCACCCGCTTTCTCCTTCCTAATGTCCCCCGCTCCCAGGTCATGGCTCTGGAACCAGGCCTGGGCAGGCAATGCTTGGTGTTGAGCCAGAGGCCACATTTCCCCACCTAGAGGTTGGGCATGTGGGAGGATTGTTCTGTGTGTCTTCAGGAGCCTGGGGAGCAGAGAAATTGACCTTGGGGGCCATCTCCGTAGCTCCAGGGGTTGGAACCACCACAGTCATACTCCATAGAGCCTAGAACATGGCAAGGGCCATGTTCTGGAGCAGGGTCCACAGGGATGGGAGTCCTGGGGGGGGGGCACAGAGGGGAGGGAGACAGAGGTGCTGTGTCTCTCAGGTGGGAGGTGAGCTGGGTGGGGGATGGGCGAGCCTAGAGAGGAAATTTCCTCCCTTGCTCCCACGAGTTGCTCCAAATGCCTTCCCCTTCCCTACAGGACCCACAGAGAAAGGACATGCTCCTCATCCCCTGCCCAGAGGGAAGTCATCAGAGAAGCCATCTGAGAATTCAAGGGGATTCCAGAGGGCAGGGGTGAAAAACTGACCTAGGCATTTGAGAAGTTTCCTAGAAGGCAGTGGGCAAGAGCTCTCAGGTATGAGAAAGGCCTGCATTTGAATCCTGGCTCTGTCGCTCAGCAAGTGCTTTAAACTCCCTGAACCTCAATTTCCCCATCTGTAAAATGGATGAGATAATTCGCATCCATCAGTAGAATTGCAAAAGTTAAAAGGAATACCACGGGAGTAGAAGAGAAAAAAAATAGGTCTTTTTTGATAGAAGAATATTGACTGATAAACAGAAGGGATGATGGAATCAGAAAATCAGTACCTTGCAATCAGTCTGGGCAGGGACTACCAAGGGTTGCTGAGGCTATTAAAGTGTTGTTGGGCCACAGGATATTCCCACAGTCTCAAAGCACCACCCTGCAGATGAGTCATGAGCAAAGGGACAAGGGTGACTTTGCTTTGAGGAGATCTGGCAGAAACCACCTTAACCAAGTAATGAAATTCAGCATTACTAGTCATGGGACAAAGCAACATCCTGTGGCTCCTGACCAGACACACAGGGAAGGACACACATCACCCAAACAGCCTCTCGCCAAAACATTTAGCCTGAATCCAATTAAAAAAAAAAAAATCAGACAGATCTCAGTTGAGAGATGTTCTACAAGTCACTTGACCAGAACTCTCTCAAACTCTCAGTGTCATGGAAGTCACTGAGGCAGGGAATCTAGATTACAGGGGGTTGCAGAGATGCGGCAACAGAAGGCAATGCTTGATTTTCAAATTGGATCCTGGGTCAGGGATAGAGTGTCATAAAGGGTCGGTTCAGGGCCAGATGGAGATGTCTGAATATGGACCATGTCTTCGAGAACATCGTGTCAATGTTAAAGCCCTGGGAGGTGAGGATGGCCTTGTTGTCCTGTCAGAGAATGTTCTGATCTTAGGAGATCCATGATAAAGTATTGGAGAGTCTTGACGCCTGCCAAGTTCTCACAAAAGCCTCAAGAAAATAAATATGGAGAGAGAGAGAGAGAGAGAGAGAGAGAGAGAGAGAGAGAGAGAGAGAGAGGAGAACAGAATGGGCAAATGTGGCCAAATGTTTTTGAAGGGGGGAAGCCATGGGTAGGAACCCACCTAGTGTTTGTCTCAACAAGCCCTGATCCCTAGGAAGAGTGGCAGCTTGGAGCAGCGGAAGGTGGAGCGGCCCCAGGGCCTGTTCAGGAACCGGTTTATGGGCAGGAAGGTTCAGATGGGATGGGGGAGGCTGAAGGCAAATGGGGTGGAAAGACCCAGGGCTCATGCTCGAGATGCGGCCCTCGGTGTAGCCCTGAACCATGCTGTGCCCCGGATCCCCAATCTGTAAAGGGAAGGGGCGCCTGCCATGTGAAGAGCAGGTGAGAAATCTCTTGATAACCTGGAGCCTGATGTTTCTGTGTCTGTTGCTGCTCAGAACCAGCTGGAGTCCGGACCTCAGAACATTGGGCAGCAGAAACATGTTAGGACGGGATGCTCAGTGCCTCAGGGCTGCCTCTCTTGCCAAAGACCCCCGCTGAGGCAGTGAGGTCCCCACCCAGCAGGGCTGAAGAGCTGGGGCAGGGCAGGTCTGGGCTGGGAGTTAAGCATTCTTTGCTGCCCTTGCTCAGAAAAGGGCCCCCTTGCACCAGACCCCCAAGAGCAGCCGCTTCCCAAGCATGCTGGGAAGGTAGTGTGGCTGACAGAGGGACTCTGGGGTTGAATATACAGATGGTCCAAATCATTGCCTGGCCCTGGCTCTCGTTTCTTGCATTGAACCATGAGCCCCAGAAGGCTCCTGCTTCACCTTATCCTACCCCCATCCCTCATGCTGCTGGCCACAGGGTGCCGGGTCTGGAAATACTTATCAACTGCAAGGCAGACCCAAGCTCTGGCCTGGTCTAACTTGTGTATAAACTGGGATGTATCACATCTTTCCTCTAGGCCTCAATTTACCCCCAAACTGTAAAAAAGAGTGATCTGTCCCTGCTTTACCTGCTCCCGAGGAATCACAGTAATGTTGAGGAGAAGGATGTGGTGTTCAGGAGGCCAGCAGATCTGGGTTCAAATCTTGGCACTGCTGCTTGCTAGTGGTAATAGGAGCCTTCCCATCCCAAGCCTGCATCTTATCCATTGCGGGTGTTAGCAGCCAATGGACAGAATTATCACAGTAAATTGAGACGAAATAAGTACAAGCAACTGGCATGTAGTTTATTGGTTTATTGTCTTTCTTCCCCACCAGGATGTCAGCCTCACAACGCTAGGATTTGGTCTTATACGCTGCTGCACCCTAGCACCTAGGGTGGAACCTGGTATTCTGTAGGAGCTCCCTAAATAATTGTTGCTTGAATGAATGAATCCATCAGGCACTCAATAAATGCTAATTCCCATTGTAATTCTAAAAATGTGCTGAGATAAAAAGCTTTGGAAGTTCATGGTTGTTGGGAAAGGAAACTTTAGAGGGCAAGAAATAATCTCCAGGGTTGGCATGGGTCTGTGCGTCCTCGTCCTTCGTCTGACAGTGGATGCCAGGGTTGCTGAACTCATCTAGACTAGGAACAGACTCTACTCAGGAGAGCCAGGCAGGAGCACGCATGATGAGGAGGGCTGGGGCAGGAAGTGTCACAAGTTGGGGACCCCCCCCGCCGTGCATCCTGTCTAATAGGGCTCCCTCATGCTGGCTGACTGTGGCCAGGTGGGAAAGCAGGCCTAGTTTCCCAGTGTAACTGATTCTTCAAGAAAAATCCAGAAAGCAATTCCTTTTTAAAGGAAAAACACAAATGAGAGCAAACAAAACACATCTGTGGGCTAGGAGGGGCCCAGTGGTGTAGCCCAAACTTCCAGGGCAAGAAGGTTCCCCTGGAATGACCTCAGTGGGGTCCTGGTCTCTCAAGGCCTCTCAGGCAGTCCCAGTCTCTGAGACTTGGGACTCAGCTTGGAAGAAATGCTGACATGACATCCAGATCCAAGAGGTCAGGAAAGAAGCCACTTCCTGGGTCCTTGGGCTCAGGAGGGATCTAGGCTTTGGCTCCCAGGCTCAGGATAGGTCGGCTCCCACAGCGCCTGGTCCAGTAGACATTCACTAACTATTCACTGAACAAGTCTTTTCTGGAAAATAAGATGTGCCTCATCTGGAAAATGGGCACAGTAATGTGGCCCCCAACGACCTCACAGGGATAATGAGGAAATCAAGGGGGATTAAAGAGATAGAAGTATTTCTGAAAATTGAAATTGCTTCACAAAAGCCAGGTGTCATCATTCTTGTCATTATTATGAACAGAACACCTTTGCTCGAGCAGAAGAAGGGGTTTGGGACTCAGAGGGGCAGAGAATCTGCAAAGACATCACAAGGAGCATCTGGATCAAGTCCAGCAGGACTCATCACAGAGGGGACACATGCTCACCAGCTCCGAGACGGACCATCATGGTCATAGGATACAGGAGCTTATGTGACTTCCTGGCCACCTGGTGTCCAGTTGAGTGGGGGGGGGGACCCAGTCAGGTCAAGCCATATCTCCCAAGACACAGGATTTCAGGGGAAGCACAAACCCCATATACGCTGCTCATGAAATAGAGAAACTATATAAATAACATAAATACTTTCCCATATATCTTAGCTATATAAATTATTCTTGTTTGCTCTAAAAACTATATATGTGAGGTAGACAATAATACCCTGTGAGCTTTTTTCCCTTAAAGCTAGTGAAGGAAGGGACAGTGGCTGCTCTGGTCCCTTGGGGGTCCCAATTGGGCTGAGGTGGGTCTCTCAGGGTAAGTGAAAGAGAAAGGGCTGAGATCAAGGAACGAGAAGGGAAGGAGAGGGCTGCACTGAGAGGACCCTATAAACTGAGGCACCCTCAGAACCTGCACCCAGACCCACGGCCTGAGGTGCCAGGGTCAGTGGCCAGCCTTAGCTGAGGTCCTCTGAGTCTACCCTTTATCCTCCTGCAACCCCAACCCTTCCAGCCATAGAGTTGGGGTGCAGATGGTGGGGGTGGTAGGTCAGGGAGCCCTGGGCCTCAGGTTGTTTCCAAGTCCCTCTTCCAATCTGTGCAGCCTCTGCTGCCTTATGCCCAAGCCTGAGCCAGGGGAGGCAGAGCTGGGGTCACAGAGGAGCAAGACAGATGGGCGGGCAGAGAACAAGTCTCAAATCAGCAGGGAAGTAGAAAAAAACTAGAAAGTGGGCCCTTGATGGTTTTTTCCTCCTCCTGCCAAGATGTGGGCCAGCTGCTTGGGTCAGCAAAGTCAATCTAGTGAGTAGTCTCAGGTCAGTTCAGCTTCTTATTGGAGCCTCTGCCATCCAAGATCCTTCTAGCATCCCCAGGCTGCCCTGAGCCACTGGAGACAGGGTGGCTCATGCAGGCCCCTGGAGGTCTCGGGGAGGCTGCTGGGCCCAGCCATGGGGCTTTCTTCCTGGAACTGGCATCAATGAGGGTTCTGAGCACTTGGCTGATTCTGAAGTTTCCTGTTTCAGCAGAGGGTCAGGAACCCTGGGTTCAGGAGGAAAGGAAGCTTACAGGAGGGGTGCGGTGGGGCTGGCCAAGTGTCCCAGAGCTTCCCGAAGGAGGTCACTTCCTTCTGGCTGGCCTCAGGCCCTACTGTGGTGAAGCACATAACCTCCAGCAGAATGACCCCTGTGAGGTCTTCATCCTGCAGCAGAGGAGATGTGAGCCGCTCCACGGGACTCCCTGCCTGGTTCCAGTGTCAGATGCGTGTGGGTTGCCTGTGCGCGTGAGCCAGTTTCTCTCCTTCCACACAGAGCCTTCGTAGGTGGCCCTGGAAATGTCCACAGCACCCAAGGAAGTTAGCAAAGTCACTTCTATTCCTCAGGTAGAAGCCCAAGTGAGGGGCCAGGCTTAGCAAAGTCTCTGCCAGAGCAAAAGCCTGAATTGGATAAGCAGCCACGAGAGTAGAAATGGAACCCAAATCCCAGTTCACGAGCCAACAGCTCTTCTGCATCACCAACGTCAGCAGGTGTGGGGGCCTCCCAGCCCAGGGCACCCCAGCTGTGGGGAGGTGGCCAGAATGAGTGCTATATCAGGCTGGAACACTGCGCTTCTACTGGGTACCAGAAAGCTGTCACCCTCCTCTGGGCTGCAACTAAAGGTCCCTTTGACCATCAGGGAAAATGAGGAGGGGCCACTGTCTCCCATCCTATCTGCCTTGCTGGTCTAATTGAGCAGGGTGAGCGGCTGTGGGTAACTCAGCTGTAGAGACAAGCATGAAGCCTCAATTCAGGCCTGTTTGAAGAACCTGGGGCATGTACCCAACTTGGGTCCACTCAAGCAGAAAGCTTTTCTTGCTCTAAGCAAGTAGCTCCCACCACCATCTCCAGCACAGCAAAGCCCCTGGTGCGGTACAAACATAGGGCACCCAGGGCTCGCTGCAATCTGAGTAGGGCCAGGGGACTGGACTGGCCCATCCCAGACAAAAGCCTAAATGTGCTTCCAGCTGGCACTGCCTCCCCTGTGTTCCCCCAATGGCTTGCTGGCTCCAGGCCACACATCCGGGGAATTGAGATGGCCAGATAACCTCTCCCCGCTGCACAACCTATTCATGCCCTCCTCTTGCTCTCCCTTGTTTTCCTCCCTGTCCCTTCCCAGTCTGCCCTCCTGCTTCAAGTCCTCAACAAGGTCAGGGACCCTTGGGTTCAGGGGCAAGGCCCTGTTTCTCTTTGCTGAGTGTTGAGGGAGGCAGAGGTAGGCCGAGGGTCTGTGGAGGGAGGAGCGCTGAGCCGCACACGGTGTGCACTGGTGCGTGTATCGGTGTGTGCAGGCAGTTGTGCAAGCGGGCCGTGGAGGTCCTGGCAGTGCAGGCGGGCTCTGGGGCAGCCGCCTAGCGCTTACAGGTGTACACGAGCTCCTGCTGCGCACACTGCTGGCACTCCACATAGCAGCACCACTGTACCTGGCAGTGGCAGGAGAAAGCCACCAGGCGGCTCTGGGTGTCATAGCCGCGCCCGCAGCACAGGCTGCCACAGCTGGCCTCCCGGGAGCACACCCTTCCCGCTGTGCCCGGCGAGTACTTGCTGGGCCTGCAGAAGCTGGGGGAGTCCTCCATGTACACCAGGTCCCCGGGCCGGGGTGCCAGGCCCTTGGTGGGGCTGCCTGGCTTGGCAGGTGCCCACAGCTCCAGACGGCCCAAGGCCTCATTGGTAGCGCTGGACACCTTGACGGCCGAGTCGTAGCGCAGCTTCAGCACCTGGCCCGTCTCACGAAATGGTGAGAGCTGCTTCCAGCAGGTGCGCACGGCACAGGAGCCCGACACGCCGTGGCACTTACAGGTGGTCCTGAGGCCACTCTTCACGGCCTGCAAGGAGAGGCAGAGTAGAGGCCTAGTCAGAGACCTGGGCCCAGCAGCCCATACCAGCCCCCAAGTGCCAACCCAGACAGAGGAGTGTCAGGAGGATGAGAAGGGGACAGGAAGGCTCATGTGAGGTCGACAAATGGCAAGAGGCTCCCATTCCTCTAGGAGGGGCACACCTTGATGAGAGCAGTGTGGGCCAGATCTCAGCCCCAGCTCCTCCCTTGGCCTTGGCCTGAAGCTTTTGTGGCATATACAATCTGCACAACTGAACACAGAGGCCTCAATGATAAGGACACAGAATACAGAATTCAGTTTCCTCAAGAATTGGAGCACTGGTCTCTGCCCACCTTCTCCCTCCACTAGAGCTAGATACTTATTACCCTCTGTTCTCCCACTACTATTGTGACTTTGGCTAAGTCCCTCCCCTCTCTGGGCCTCCTGCATCTTCCTATCCATGAAATGGAGGAGAAGCAGGGGTTACACAAGATCAAAACTAAGGAATGATGTTGGCTTTGACCTTGAAATGAAGGCCCTTCTCCAAACACATTCCTGCTTCACCAAAGCCTGGTCCCAGGCCTGGCTCCTACCACTGCCCAGGCATCCATTGCTGCTCAGGACCCTCCCAACTTCTACTGTGGTCCCGGTGTGTGGTCATGGACCAGAGTGGATGCTCAGAGAATGTCAGTAGAGGTCATGAAGTCCGTGCTGGGACGGCTGTGGGGTGGGGTGCTAGCCTCCTATAGACCTTGCTCTCTGACTCTGCTCCCTGCCTGTGGGTGGTACTTTGGGCAGCTGGGGAGTGTGCTCACCTTGATGCCCACGTGGGTGTTGTGGGCATCAGCCCGTGCCCTCAGGTCCTTGCTTCCTCTCTTGGGCCCCAGGAAGTTACTCAGAAACTTGGTGCTGTACTTGAGATTGTCACCACACACACCCCACTGCCAGGCCTGCCGGCTCTCCAGGCCAGGGGAGTCATCACAGGTGCAGCGCTCCATGCGCCCAGCACTGCACGCTCGGGCCAGTGCATGGGTGAGGGCGGCCGAGGACACCGCGTACAGGAAGGCCGTCTCCTTGAAACCTGTGCCAGGCACCCAGGGGGCATCAGCAGGAAGGAAGAGAGAAGCTCAGAGGTTGTCCATGCTCTCTGAGGGCTGGCAGGATATGCCCTGTGGGTTCCTTGTGCTCCCTGACTCTTTTCAATCAGAGTGACCTTGGGTCTCTTGCCTGACTTTCCCCAACTGAGCATCCCCCTCACTTCCAGGACCACTGCTATGCTTATACTGTTGGGGAGTGGCCCCAACTTGGCTTCCTGGGGGGCTCATTGTCTCCTGCTCTCCAATGTATCGGGGTTGTGTGACACATGGAGAGGCGGGAAGCAGGCTACTACCTCTGCCCCAGACCCTTCCCTACCATCAAGAGCAGCTGGCCTAGAAGGAGGGGGGGGATGCCTGCCCCATCACCATCATGGAGTGTTGTAAAAGTCCCCGCTGGAGCCCTTTGCACTTGGCAATGGAGTCACCCAATGACCTGTATCTCCCTTCTAGACCCCATGCTTTCATTGGGCAGATGGGACACATTTGGCTCTGTCCCTCCAGCATCCAGCACAGTTCCTGGGTCGCTGTGGGCCTCCATGCTTAGGGGGCGATGGGTGGGTGGAGGCACAGAGGGATGGATGCAGAAAGAAGGGAGGGAGGCAGAGTGGGAGGAGTGTCAGGGGTTCGTCCAGGGATGCAACGAACAGAGCCAGATGAATAGTGAGTTGGTGAATCAGCGGCTTCGTGTACTCCACCAGTGACTAATGCCTCTGATCCTATACGCTCCTGTGCCTGCCTCACACGCGTGTGGAGAAGGCCCCGGGAGGTGGCTGGGGCTCTCTGTCTCATCTGTGGGCTCCTCCAGCAAAGGACTTGTGTCTCCCTTCTTTTATGTCTTCCTTGATCCTCTTTTATCTCCAAACCCGTAGTTAGGCCACAACTGGCCTTTAGTAGACCCTCACTAACTCCCCAAGGCCCTTCTCATTTGAGGCTGTTCCAGGAAACCCAGGACGGTGTGACCTGCTGGGTCCCCCAAGGCCTCCTCCTCCCTTGTGATCCTCCCCACCCTCCTCCCCACCTCTCTTGAGCAGGCCGGTCCTCCCCTCCAGGCTGCAGTTCCAGCGCTCATGCCGGAACTGGAACTGACATTCCAGCAGGCCAAGGTGGGCCGCGTCCCGCAGGGTCTCAGCCAGGCCCGGCTCCCTCCGGCAGAGCTGCTTCTGTCTTCGGGACAGCTTCAGCAGGTCGCACTGCTTCAAGTGGATGCCGCTCTGTGCTGGGGCTGCCTCAGTGCCCAGGCCTGGGAAGGGCGTCAGGACCTCCCGCCCAGTCAGGCTGCACAGGACGAGAGAAGGGAGACAGGTGAGCCGTGGGGTCTCGACAGGGCAAGGCGAGGGATGACCATCCCTGTGGACGTGGGACAGGTGACAAAAAGGGGCTCTGTTGGAAGGGTCCTTCTTGGGAGCTTCATTTATTGCCCTTGGGGGCAGCAGGCCACACCACAGTGGGTATGGCCCCATAGGAGACCAAGGTGCTTGTGACAGGATTAGTGCAGAACCTCCAATTCAAGTTTTCCAGAGTCCAGTTTCTGCTCTTACCTGTCCTATTTCCCAAATTTGCCCAATCAGAGAAATCACCTGGGTACTTTTTTAAAATACAGATTCCCAGGACCCACACTTAGCAATTCTCATTCTATGGGTCTGGAGTGGGGCCCAAGAATCTGTAGATTTGTCACATTTCCCAGGCAGCTGATAAGATTGGGGAAGTTTGGGGAGCATTGCACATAGCATTGCTGACCTCCTAAAGGAGGACATCTTCCTAAGAGGAGCAAGCATAAGAGAAAAAAATCCCTAGGCACAGTCCCCCATGTGCCCCTCTCTTGCATTATATCACTGCCCAGTAAAACCTGGGTTGTTTAATCCCAGGTACATTGTCAATCATCTAGCCATTCCAAGCCTCGTATATACTTGGGGGAAGGAGGAAAGGAAGGAAGGAAAGAAGGAGGAAGGCTGACAGATGGTTGGATGAAGGCAAATCCCAAGACTTCTTATTCTATATCCAAAGTCCATTGAATCTGGAGTTAGGTGCCAGATTCTAAGACTGACTCTGCCACTTCCTACCTGTGCAACTGTGAAGCCTGGGTTTTCTCTTCTGCAAAGTATAAAGAGTGATCTTCCCTTCTTTCCCAGGGTTGCTGCGTGGATTACATGAAAAGCACGAGCCTCAGCCCTGGGGACACATACAACTTGCCTTCCTGCTGGCTGGGTCCCAAGCTTCTCCCTTCTGCAGAATGTCTTCCTCTCTAACTGGGCAGAGTCTCCCTTTGTCCAGAGGAGGAGACAGAGGTTCTATGAGGAGATGGTGAGGGCTCAGGTATACAACTGCTCAGCAGCAAAGAGGGATCTAGAAGTAGGGCTCAACCTCCCTCCTTCCAGAAGCTTTCTGTGACATGGTGCTACTAGTTCAAGATGCTTGCTGTCCCCTGGTGGCCTGCCCCCTACCCCGTGTGGGTGGATTATACCCCATTCCAGGACCCAGCAGGAGGAAGCACCCCTTCCTGGAACATGCCAGCCTCATAGCCACAGTCAAAAGGCAAAGGCGTAACCAGACTATGGCTCCTAAAGCTCCTGCTTGAAAGGGGCACTTGCCACCTTTGCTCATGTGTCATTGGCCAGGTAAGCCCTGTGGCCAAGCTCCAAGGGGCAGGAGAGGCCATCATCCCACTGAGCCAAGGGCACAGGCTCTCCTGTTTGGAGTCACCTGCCTTCCCCAGGACATTTGGCTGGATGCCACACCCTCCCTGTCTGCTTGGGGAGCAAGCAGCCTCACTAGAGGGTGTGGATCCTGGCCAGGCCCCAGGTGCTCTGTAGATCCCAGATCCATCAGGTGCAGCCAACCAGTGTGGAGCGTATCTCTGAAACCTCCGAGCAGAGACAGATGCTATCAGGCTCCTCCAGGCCCAGCCTGGCCCTGGGCTCCCCTCCCAGACAGGGTGAGGGCAGGGGCCCGTTAATCATTAATCTGGGGGCAAATGGGTAAATTTCCAGTCCACCAGGCCTACACCTGAACCCCTCCCTGCAACCCTGCAGGAAACCTCAGAGCTTGACCCTTGGCAGGCCTGGAGCAGAACCTGAGGTCAGCTCTGGCTGGGGAGGACGCACCTTGACTGACTTCCAGCAGAGTGGGAGGCTTGGGGGCTGCTGGGAGCAAAGGAAACAGCTGCAAAGACCCCAAGTATCCTCCTCCCCACGACGGGGGCTGGTGGGAGGGGAAACTTTAGCTCACACAATTCCTGTTTCAAAAGTTGGGACCTTTCTTGTAGAAGCTGATTGACAGATCAGAGAACACGCAGGGAGTGATGGGAATCTTGATCAATGGGACTGCATATCCTTCAAGGCCTGTCTCAAATGCCATTTTAAGAATCATAGCTGCTGGGCGTGGTGGCACAAGCCTGTAATCCCAGTGGCTTGGGAGGCTGAGGCAGGAGGATAATGAGTCCAAAGCCATCCTCAGTCAAAAGTGAGGTGCTAAGCAACTGAGTGAGACCCTGTCTCTAAATAAAATACAAAATAGGGCTGGGGATGTGGCTCAGTGGTTGAGACCCCCTGAGTTCAACCTCCAGTACCCCCCCCCAAAAAAAGAATAATATCTATTATTATTCTACCATTATATCTATATATGTCATATTATAAAAAATATATTATATATTTATTATATTAAATGTTATACTATATGTATGCTAGTATACCTACCATTTTTTAGTGCCTATTACTGAGTCATTAAAAAACTATTGTGGACATCTAATTGGGTCAGCTGCCCACACATTCCTTCTATCTACATGGCTACCATGGGGTCCCTATTGGCCATTTCATATTGCATGACCTTGCTGCTCTGATCTGTTGATTGGGTCAGTGATGATCACATGACCCACGCAGGGCCAATCAGTCCTTTCTCTGAGAATTTGGAGTTTGAATAAGAGCACATACAGTTGCTTTCTCTCCCTTTCTCTCATTGGGTGACTGAGCGTGTAACATGAAAGAGGAAGCTGACCCAAAGAGGGAGAAAAAGAATGAACCAAATGAACTGGAAGAACCAGAGATGAGACGAGGAAGAACATTTCAGGCTCTGGTCCCAAGGTCTTCCTGAGGCTTTTCTTTTCTCTTGCCTAAGACACGCCTTCCTGCAGAGTAAAGGCTGAGAGTTGGTTTGTCTAGCTAAGGACTTTAAGCTAAGGTTTGTCTAGCTAAGGCTTTGTTTGAGCTGCTTTCTGCAGCTTCTCAAACCGCGTCAGAGTGGTCCTAAGACCAGAAGCCTCCATCCTACACACACAAAAGGTTACACTTTTGACAGCTGTAGAGCACCAGAATTGCCTCAGCTGCACTGTGAGCAGGACTCAGTGAGACCCTTCCACTAATTGACAGTCACTGATTTTATAGTTTTCATGTAATGGGTCCTGAGATTGATGGTTCCCAGGTCCAATATCAAGTCGGTTAATTTTATTAGTGGTAATGATACTTAGTAGCGTTTAATGGTCAGGAAAGGCAGCCAACCGCACAGAGGCCTCAGGCCACACTGGGCTCTGGTCTGCCCAGGGCTGCTCTCCATAAAGGTTCTCTGGTACTGCTTTTGGGGTCCCTGCAGCCTAAGGGTATTTCCAGAAATGAGTTTTCCTTTTATTTGTAGATTGCGGTTGTACTTCCTTTTAAGTAAGAGTACCATAATATCAAATTTAGAGAAATGACTCGACATGTTTCCTTAAGCATGGCTAGTGACCTCCCCTCTGCCTGCTCATCCTGTGGCATCTGCCAGGGAAGGGTTCTTCCTGGACCCCAAAAGAACTCTGGGCATGACAGGCTCCAGCCTATTCGGTGGTCAACAGCTGTATTTCCCTCCCCTGGAAGTACCCCAGGCCTGAGAACCCTCCCATGGGACCCTTCGAGGAAGTCTCAATTACCCACATGTTAGCTGAGCCTCATGGGGGTAAGACAGACAACTGGAAAAGTTCAAGTGAGCTTCGTGGGTCTTATGAATCCAGACAAACTGCAGGTTTTGAGGAAGACACTGCCCTGTGGTCAGTCCTTCACTATCAACCACCAAAGGAGCTAGCATTTGGAACCAGAGAAGAGAAGCCAGAATTTGTGATCTTGCTAATTGATCTTGGGGGGGGGGGGAGGACAGCAATTCCTGAGGACCTCTGCTTGAATTGAGTGCTCCTGTGCGGTAGGTGCCCATCACTCCATCAGGCTGCACCTGGCTCAGCTCATCTGCGCCCTTCCTTTCCTTATTGGCCTCCCCCAGGTGACTCCCAGCCTCTTTTCCCAGTAAGAAAGCAACAACCTCGTGACCTTCTTTCTCCTTCCTTGCTTACCCCCAAGCTGAGCCCCTCTGCTTTCTGCAGCTTCTCAATCCACGTCAGGTGGTCCTAAGACCAGAAGCCTCCACCCTACACACACAATGAGATGTCCTCTGGCTCTGACCCCAGGGCATCCACAACCACATCTACCCCTGGAAAGAGAAAAGCCAAAGGTTCCCTCAGGACTTATCTCACAGACACCCACTCCCAGATCCCCTCTGTCCACTCCTGGCCCTTCCCGACTCCTCCTTCCACACTCTCACACTCCTAGCTGCAGATTTGGTTCCTGCTGCCCCATCAGGGTAGCCTTGGGAGAAGCAGCAGAAGGTTCCCAAGGCCCTGGGAAAAGCCTCCTAAGAGATCACTCTGCCTGATGTCAGCAGGACCCCAAGGGCCATTCAAGCCCCAGACTGGGGCTGGAGTTCAACCTTCAACCCTGCCCGCTGGAGGATGGGGACCCAAGGACCTCATCCCCAAGGCTGTTGTGCCTGGGTAGTCTGGTTCCAGGTGTTCCTATTACTCAGGAGTGACATTCATCTAACAAACACGAATTGGCTTGTGAGAGAGCCTGATGGAGCCAGACTTCCCGGGTTCAAATCCTACCTGGACTTCTCGCTGGCTGGGTTGCCTTAGGCAGGGTGCTTTACCTCCTGGGGATAACAACAGAACCTGTCTTGCAGGGTTGATGACAGAATTAAATAAGTTAACTTTTATAAAGCTCTTATAACAGTGCTGGAAACACAGTAAGTTACAGGTGTCATTATTGAGCACCCACTGCCTGCCAGGCACTGTGTTGGGCAAGGACACAGTTCTACCCTCAACAAATTCAATAGTGTTGGGAGGGACTTGATTGGATTCAGGAGCCCCCCCCCCCCAAGTTCTTCCAAAGCCCCAAGAAGCTGGAGAAAGAACAGTCTTGAACTGGCCTGGCTTCATGAGGAACAACCAGTAGGTGATCTCCGGGCACCATCTAGGTGACAAC